TTCTTACCAGAAAATAGAAAAGCTTTAGCTATAAAAAATAGTAGCAGGATAAAATCAAAATCTGCAAGCAGATTTACTATTTTGAAAATTTTCCCTTTACAACTATTATGAACTACCGATAAACATCATGGGATGATAAATGTTCACATTAATAATAACATAACACGTTAGAAGAAGTTAACCTTTCTATCCTCATCTAATCATATTTTTTGGGATATTCCGTAGAAATCTCTTTATTTTTTTCCCATTTATTCTCAGATTTCGATGAGATTTCCCTATTAAAGGAAAACTAAGAAGATTCCGACCTGTTTTCCTAATTTAGAACCTGACTTTAGTTAATTTATGGAAAAAGGTAGGACTTTATCTCTTCGGTTTCCGATCAGAAATTTAAATATTTGGCATGATGATAAGTCTGAGCACTCAAATCGGTCCCCATGGGAATCCTTAGATCCGTGCTGATGCTAGAATCGCCCAAGGAAGTCGAAAAAAATTATGTTAGGTAAGGTTGGTCTTACGAATTCCATGTGTGCAGAATTTATCTATGCAATTAGTAGAAGTGCGTGTTAACCTTAAAAAAGCGATAGTTTTATAACCAATGAAACTTTCTCCTAAGAAGCGCGCGTTTAACTCTCTCTATTCTTTTGTGTCAGTTTTCTTTTCATTATCATTTTTTATCCTTACACGCAGATCCAATCTTCATGGAACATTATTCCAATGTCATGTCGATGTTGACCATGTCGAATCGACGAATCATTTTTGATTGAGCAAAGCTTAAGTATGCGTAATATTTGAATTCTACACTGAAATGTATTTTATGTATAATTGTTTTTTTTATATTTAAGTTAAATGATTATTGTATGAATATCCTGCGGTAATCTAAAGCTTCATGTAAACCATATATTTTTACATTATAAAAATATGTAAAGAATAATAGTAGAATAACAGTAGAAAACATTTCAGTTTAGAATCCTTTCTTGTTTTCCTCACTACAGTTCAAACTAATAAAATAATTCAAATATTTACGAGGAATCCGGCTAGTAAGTCTGATTGGATCCTTGTCAGTTTTCCTGGATGGATCCCTATTAAAAATTGAATGTTTCCTAGTCGGGGGTTTTCTAGTCAGATTCTAGCAATAGGTAAAGAAAACAGATCTCTGTCTAAATTTCTGCATGCGCGCACGCGCGGAATATCGTATAATCTATCAGATTCAAACAACTTTGCATTATCATAACTATGTTGAAAATCAATATCTTGGACATATTTTTTCCAGAGATATAGAAAAGCCTCAACTATATAACCGCTACAACCTTATTGGAAATTAATATTTCCGAACACTTTTTCTCAGAGATATAAAAAAGACTCAGCTGTAAGATAGTAGCGCGATAAAATCAAAATCTGCAGACCGATTTTGAAACTTTCTCGAACGCTTTACAAAAGTTAGGGGAGCGATCAAATATTCGTTCGAGTTTCAAAAACCTAACATTGCACGAGTTTCAAAAACCTAACATTGCACCTAACATTGAGGGTTAAGAATACGGAGAGGGTGCTCATTCGCGAGATATTGAGTGTTTTTAGTTTGTCAGCTTATTCTCATCTCGCACGACGATCCATAAGAGCAACCACAATTAATAACAATTATTGAGAGCTGATCGCCTTATCGATGAGATATCAGCAGTTATGAAGCTACGCGACCCGGAAACCCGGTAAGTCCTGCCAAGACTAGCGTCGAGTTTCCGCGAGCGACGGGCTCGAGGATCGAATCTCGTTTCGCAGCATCCGTGGGCTTGCGGAGCTCTCACATGTGACATTAAATCGTCTTTGGCGTAAGAGTGCAGCCGATTGCTGAGCACGGCGATACCTGAGGTGTACGTTGGAGCGTGTAAATCCCATATATCCAATTAGATTCGTATAATCCTCGTATGTTAGCGGAGGGTGTTCCTACCCCTCGGGCCGCAACCCCTCACGGTCTCCGGCGCGGCTTCTCTTCTCCGTGTCCGTGCGTGTCCCGCTGCCGCACGTATGTAGTTGTACATATACGGCTGTGCTCTGGCGCAAGCGCGCATCCCGCTCTAATACTAAAGTACTAATTTATGGGCACACATGAGATGACTATAGTACGCGCTACAGCGCCAGAAAAGGGACTATAGTCTGCGGAGGAGAACAGAAGCGGATGAGGGGGTGGTCGTGGCGGTGGTGCTGGTGCTGCTGCCGCTGCTGCTGCCGCTGCTGCTGCTGCTGCTGCTGTTGCTGATGGTGGTGGTGGTGGTTGGTGGCGGCGGTGGCGGCGATGGTGGCGGTAGTGGCGATGGTGGTGGTGGTGGTGGTGAGATAGGGCGAGGGTATATCGGAGAACACAGAGGCGGGCTTTGCATGCGATATCAATAAATCAAGTCCCCGGGACCCCGGCAGCTTAGGGGGCCACTACGTGGCCAGAATCAACAGCTCATAACGTCGGCTAATAGCTACCCGCGGTGGGGTCGAAGATATTGTCGTAACACCGAGGGACATCTTACCGTCGCAATGGTTGGATTTGGTTGCGCTCTATCGAGGAAAAAAGTGTCATCGCGGCGATGTTGGAGGATGAGAGGGGTAGCGGTCGAACGCACGTTTTGCGATCGCGTAGCATGCGAACGGGAATGCCTTGTTGGTGAATTAATGGGTGGAGATCGATGTGACCTTGTTACTCCTGTGTCCGTTGATGAACGTGCGACTGGGCCGGTTGGTTTTCGTGGAATCATTGGAAACGATCGATAGGTGCAATTCTTCATGAGACGGTAGACAATCCCGTCGGTGGGAAACTCTGTTCGTGCGAAAATTTGACCCTTACACACGGCACACACCTTAATCTAGCACAACTAAAGTCGTTTTCGTCCTCGTTTATTTACATTCCGTAAAAGTATTAATCAAAATCTGTAAAAAATAATAAATATACTTCCAAGTCTGTAGAGCAGAATTATATACAGAAATAATTACAGGTATTTACTTGAGTATTTCATTTTATTGCAAATAAAAGAGATTTATTGTGAAGAGAAACGCAATAGAAACGTAATGAGTTTATACAAAAATTTATTACTTTTCTAAAAACGAATTTAAAAATTTATTCTAGGATTTTCTTGTGTATGTATGTGTGTGTGTGTCGATACTTGAATCTTTAAGAAAAAAATATAATATGATACAACTTGTCAAAAAATATAATTTTGTCAAGAAATATAATTTGATAATACAAAAATACATCATTATTTTAATCAAGAAGCGAATTAAATTTCATTAATAGTTTTAATAGTTTGCGGTACATTAATCTACTATATATGATGAAAATTTTATTAAAATTATTATAAAGATTAGATATAGCTGAATCTTTATTTGTTCGTGATTAAAGACGATATAGAAACCTTGATCACGTAGAAGAGACCAGATTTAAATGGCACCAAGGATATGTTACCTATATGCTTTTTTTAGTATTTATCTATCTAGAAAATAACAGAGTGGATATAAAATTACGAAATCTTTTTAGGACATAGATACATTTCCCTGAATTTCTTTAAAATCGGGATAATATTACAGTTACAATATAGAAAATACAGTTACAATATAGAAAAAAACTGATTTAGTAGTAGCAAAGTAAATTTTCGGGCCTCTCGAAAAGTTGTAATAATAATCTTCATCGTAAGTGTAAGTTAAGCGGTTTGTTACTAGCTAGAATGAAACTTTTCGCAAGTATATAATATAGTCTTTCTGTTTCGAATAATAAAAGTAATTCTCATCTATAAAATGATTGAAATCGAGCATAACCAGACATGTTTGGTTAGTTTACTAAAAATCTTGTTAACTTAAATAATTCGGGTTACTTCAATCGGAATCTCTGGATCGTTCATATTCGACCAGATATTTGATTAATTCAACCAAATCTTTTCTTTTCCGTGCAGGATACATATTTTATATATAGTCTTCTTATATTCTGCACTATTGGGCAACTGGAACTACTATTAGGGCAAGATGGCCAGATTGCTGCATCTTTTTCTTTTGATTTGATTTTGATTTTGATTTTGATTTTGATTTTGATTTTGATTTTGATTTTGATTTTGATTGAAACAAAATATACTATTAACAGAACTGTAATGGTTATCAAGGTATGTAATGGTTACAATTAATTGTAACTTCGAAATTTTGAAATATAGGCCATCTAGCCCCAGTTTTTCCTATAATACAATCAAAAATAAATAATCTACTTATATAAAATCTTTCTTATATATTATATTTAACGTAAAAAGTCGGGACATAATGAAAATTTGTCTTTGTTTTACACTTTGATGCCTTAATTTGGTATATTGAAGTCGTAAACGACCCCATAGCAATCTTTTTGTTACATGAACAGCAATTTACATGTCTACAATGTTTAATTCTCATATTTTCACCAATTATAATTTTTTTAGCGCGCACGGAAAAAAGGTTGAGTTAACTAAATATCAAATATGAACGATCCTGAAATGACGATTGAAATAACCTGAATTCTGTTTAAATCAACCAAAAATCTTGTTAAACTGAAACAGAATTTGGGTTACTTCAATCGGAATTTTTGGATCGTTCATATTCGGTCGGATATTTGATTAATTCAATCAAACCTTTTTTTTCCGTACGTGAATCGAAAGTTATTATTACATTAGTTCGCGAATAATCCAAAATTAAAAATCAGGTGGGATCTAGAATGACTCTATTGTAGGATTAGATTAAGGTTAAGCAACTTTGGTAATTTTAAAGAAGAAACATGGTCAGTAAGAGCTTAGTCGCGGATAGTAATGCAAATAATTTTTATTGAAGTCACGGAAAGATGTATTGTCTGAATGTGGGAAAATGCACATTCGAATATAATATATTCTCATGTTTTCTCTTATTTTGGATCATGTATCTATTGATTTGTTTATATAATATAATTCTTCTTTCTTGTCTTTTTTCTGGGAGAATAGCGACGGTGACAATTGATCTCTTGTTCCGTGCCGCAGGTATGGTTTCAAAATCGCCGAGCGAAGTGGAAGAAGCGCAAGAAGACGACGAATGTTTTCCGGTCTTCGGGATCGTTGCTACCGTCGCACGGCTTGCCTCCTTTCGGAGCGATGAGCTCGGAGTTGTGCGGCGCTGGAATGTTTCACACTCCTGCGGATAGATGGGGAATGGGGACAGGTCAGATATTAATAGGTTTTATTAATAACTAACTGAACGCGAGAAGTGCGAGACAGAAAAAAAATACCCGCGTCCTCTTACGATGATCGGGACAGGAAACGCTGTTTCGATCGTCTTGTATTATTACTCGTATAAGGATCCGATATATTCGCCGCAGTGAAACATTAAAAGTGAGGTTTGTAGCGCGAAGTCACGAAACGTCTCGCCCGATAGTTATTTCTGTAGCTGTTATTAATTTCACGCGTCATTCCGCTTCATAGAAGAAAAAAAAATAAAGAAACGATATTTTTTATAATATTATAATAGTATAATATTGAGGTAGTTGGTCCGTGACAATACTTTCAAGAAGGTAATGGTACCCATTATGATAACACATTATGACAATGCTCGACAAATCTGTGTGCTAAATGTACAAATATGATTTATAATATATAGTTTTGATAGTATCGCACAAGAGTGTCAATCAAACTTAATGTTTAAAAATCTGTAAAAAAATAATCATTTTACGTACTTTAGCGGATAATTAGTTATTGAGCTGGGATTGTTCATGCTAGACATTTATTTGTAAATATATCACATGTATCGATAAACACACATTAAGGAAATACTATAATTGAAAACTAATACTGATGAGAATACTGACTTTCTTTTGTTAAGTTTACGTCATGTTGGTTACACAGAATTACAAATGCTGTTACATACTAAAAGTATGTGCAAGAATGAATTAGAGTATTGCTGAATATACAAAATCTTGCTATATCTTTACATCTGAATTTAGAAGCTTAAAAATATCGGGAAAGTTTGCAGAAAGATATACGTGCTTAGATTTTTCACTAAATATATGATAAAACAAAGCAACATACACCTAAGATCTATATATAGAAGAAATACTAAAAGGGTAGAATGATTTTGTGTTAGTAACGATCATCTCTACGTCATCGACATTTTCGTCACCGATTCCTGTGTCTCTTTAAGGGAATGTTGGAGTCGATGACAAACTCGAACAATATCGATAATGCAGAGACTATCGTCACTAACATAATCACGCTATCCTTTCTTGAATATATTCAATATATTGAATATATTTCTTGAATATACAGAACTTACATTATGTGTGCTATTTTGTTTAACCATATTCAACGAGGAACCTAACCATATATATGTAAAAATTTTTCTGCAAACTTTTTCGATATTCTTAAGCTTCCAAATATAGATACAAAGGTACAAGCAATATTCTTTAAAATGTTTCTGCTTGGAGCAGAACTTTGACACTTTCGGTATGTACAAGCTGTGAAACTTTTGGATTAGGCAAATATTATGCTAACTGACAGTTTGAGATTTTATATTAAGAATTTTTTGTCCGTTTTCGTCACATATCGAGCAATGCTCCTATTTATTTTTGCACTTTCATTGCGTAAAAGCATTTGTAATTATGTGTAACCAATACAACGTAAACTTTGCAGAAAAATGTCAGTGTTCTATTGGTAAAGTTCTCAGCATCCCCTTAATGTACGCTACTGAAGAATATGACGTCGAATTTTTCCGTATTTTCATATATCTTTGACATTTTCACATATTAGTTATAGATCTTTAAAATTATTTAAACGTTCCATCTTTGAAAAGATGTCTAACCAAGAGAGATGTCTAACCACGAGAGACAACTGAAAATACATCGCATATAATATTGTTAGATCCTTACAGATTATCTGTCATATGCTTCAACTGCTATCAGAAATTATGTATTTACACGTCAGTTTCTCGAAAGCTGGACGGTAAAAAATCTTGTAATTTCTTTATAATATTTCTAAATATATCTTTTATCTCTCGTTGTTTCGTTTTAAAGATATTTTTCCGAAACTCTCTCTTGCTTCTTAAAATGTTATTAAAATATGAAAGTATTACTGAAAAATAGGCTTACGGACCAACTATCTCAACTGTGAAATTTTGATGTGATATATTTTTCCGAAACTCTCTCTTGCTTCTTAAAATGTTATTAAAATATGAAAGTATTACTGAAAAATAGGCTTACGGACCAACTATCTCAACTGTGAAATTTTGATGTGATATATTTTTCCGAAACTCTCTCTTGCTTCTTAAAATGTTATTAAAATATGAAAGTATTACTGAAAAATAGGCTTACGGACCAACTATCTCAACTGTGAAATTTTGATGTGATATATTTTTCCGAAACTCTCTCTTGCTTCTTAAAATGTTATTAAAATATGAAAGTATTACTGAAAAATAGTCTTACGGACCAACTACCTCAACTGTGAAATTTTGATGTGATATATTTTTTGTAAAGACACGAATTTATGCGGAACTATTTTAACAACTCATAAATATGAGAAATTTGTATAATTAAATAATTGCATCGCACGCTTCAGTTAACCCTTTATATGCGCATAATTCATGGAACATTCTAGTAACTTTTTTTAATGAAATATTGTCAAAAACATTCTAAATAGTACATTTATAAGGTTTCAACTGCCCAATCTTAAGTGATCCCTATTGGTATCAGTGATACTTAAAAGGTTAATCAATCATTTACAGGGTGTCCCAGACACTCTTCCGCAATTTTTGTGGGAACGTAGAACGGGTTGAGGTAAACATAAAAGTTCTATGGTCTATTATATGTTCTATTCGTTTTGCGATATTTGCAATAATAGTCGAGATATTAATTAAAGAAGATTGGTGCGCGATATGGTAGATGAACTGTAATGGCGATATATACTATTGTGTATATTAAGTCAAATTGAGTAAAAATGCCCTTTATTATTTTGCAAATAACCACGTAGATTTTTAGTTATTAATATTATATTTATGAAAGAAAATTGTTACATAATTGTGCGCGATAATGCACAAATCTTCTTTAATTAATATCTAAAAATCTATGTGATCATTTGCAAAATGGTAGAGGATTTTTTGGTTCAGTTTAACTTAATGTATAAATATAAACGGCAGATTGCACCACCAGATAGTTCATCTACGATATTAAGCGCGCGCGCGCGTGATTATTAATCAATCTTCTTTAATTAATATCTCGAGATTTATTACGAATATCGCAAAATGGTATGGAACTTTTATATTTACTTCAATTTGTTCTCACAAAAATTGCGGAAGAGAGTCTGGGATACCTCGTATATTCTTTTCACTGGATTTATGATTTTTACTCTCGCCTTTCGCGATTCGACCGCGATACGCGAAAGTTCTCCGTGACGGCGGGTGTAATGAGAACGAGGAAACTCGCGGGCGCAGTCATCAGTGGAGGCACCCTCGAAAGCGCCATTTGATCGAGACACATCATCCGCGCGCGTTTATGCAAATCACACTCGCGATTCGCCGTGTCATTTTGTGTACGATATGATTAGCGTCTTGTACGTGCGTTAGCGGACGAGAAAAAGCACAACACACGAGAAGGGAACACCGATTCTCGTAGACAAAGTCGCGACGATGCTCGCCTCCTAATTTAATTCCGCCCGTCCACTGGCTGAGACAGCTGAAATTACTTACGCGTATTAACGGCCCCACGGCTATTCACCGACAGCGTCGGCGACAACGACGACGACGACGAGGAGGAAGAGAGGACGACGACGACGGCACCGATAACCGATCCTTCCCGTTTCTTCGCGTCCCGCACGCGCACAGTCTCGCACTTATATCTATTGTCCTTGGCGTATTCATGGACACTCACCGATCTCCGCAGGTCTCGGCCAACTGCAGAGTGGCATGACAATGAGCAGTTTCGGGCAACTCGGCCAACAAAGCACGGGAAGCCTGGGCTCGAGCCTCAACCTCGGCAATTCCGGACTCCCCATCAACGGCCCATCGCAATCCGTCTACCACACCAGTTACGGAATCAACTCGATCGGTGAGTTATGGCGAATTCCCGCAAGAAGTCATGGGTTACAGTTGGGACAGCTGTTCCACTGCGGTGATCGACGGATAAAATATCATTCGGCGCTCTCTACACGGAAAGGATTCTGTAGTAAAAATTGTTATGGAATTTTGTAGCCGAGGAGTAAATCGGCAGTGACTGATCATCTTTTCATTTCATGCATGCCATTTATCTCTTGGGATTGAAATGTGCTATCAAAGATTTCATATGTTTTTAGCGATACTTAATATATATATATATATATATATATATATATATATATATATATATATGTATAATATATATATGTTTCCTAGTTATTGCTTTGCACTACTAGAAACTACTAGAAACATAGCAAAATTGAAAACAACTTACATGAGAGAAAAAACTACAATATTCTCTTCGCGTCATTTCGATTAAACAAAAAGATTCATATGTTGGGTCAGTACAAAAGATTTGTCATGTTTGTTAAATGAAATAGAACAAAACATTATCCAGTTTTAAAGGATTAATAATTTGTTCGAAGGATTAATAAATTTTAATAAAATCAACAACATCGACTTGATATTTTTTAGATATCTAACAATAGGATTTTCTATTGTTCCTTTTAACATCCAAGCTTCCTATGAGAACTTAATAGAGAAATGACAAATCTTTTGCATCAATCTAATAAATTAAACTTGAAGCAAGCAAGGAGTGTCTATAAATTTATTACATTTAACATTAACTTCTTCATCCATTCTCCACTTCTTCATTCCATTGCCCACGGATCTTTTATTAGGACCTTAACTTAGTTTCCGCCCAAAAAATACTGAGAAAAAGCATTTATTGTAAAAAATGTATTTAAATTATTTCAATGAAAGTATTTTCCATCACTTTCTACAACTTTTTGCCATCTTTCTGGCAACTGGGCGATACCATCTCGATAAAACGATGTTTGTTTCGAAGCAATCCATTCGTCCACCCATTCTCGCACTTCTTCAACATTTCGGAAGCGTGT